ATGAGTCATTCTACGCGCCACTGTCACTCATCTCTGTTTCGTAATTCCTCCAGAACTTCAATGCTTGCGGAGCCGCACACGCGCCCCTTTCAAAGCACCACGCACCTGTCGCTTTGCCACCTCAGCAATGCCCCACCAGTGGCGGCCGCGGCGGTGCTCTCACTACCGCCGCGGCGCTTCCCTATCCACTCTCTCGCTGCTCTGCCTTGTAATAAGCTGCCACGTGGCGGCATCGGCGCGCATCAAGAACGTGGTGGTGCTGATGATGGAGAACCGTTCGTTCGACCACATGTTCGGTTGGATGCAGAATTCGGAGATCGACGGTCTGGATGGCACCGAGTGCAACCCGATCGTCGCGGAGAGCGACTCGGATGAGGTGAAGTTCGAGCAGGTGTGCGTGAACGAGAACGCGCCATACGACAACAGCGAGGACCCCGACCACTCGTTCACGGGCACGCGCAATCAGATCTTCGGCGGAAGCGCCATCGCAACGGTGCGGCAGGCCCTCCTATCCCCGCCTTGTCCGCCGTTTCCCCGACCCATCCTGCTGCCATGCTGTCCTTTCGTCCCTTCTCCTTCCTTCCCTTCCCCGACGCCCCGCAAGCTCCCTTCCCCAATTTCCGCTTCCCCTCCTCCCCCCATTTCCCCTCCCCCGACGCACGCTCTGGCGCCTGGGCCGAAAGGTCGTTCTCCCCATCTGCCCGGCGCATCACCACCTCCGCCGTTCCCCCTTTCGCCTTCCCTCCAGGCCTCCCCCCAAGCAATGGGCGGGTTCGCGCAGCAGGGCGAGGAGGTGCGCGAGGGATTTTCCGCCGAGGTGATGTCCGCCTTCCGCCCGGCCGCGCTCCCCGTGACGTCCGCGCTGGCGGCGCACTTCGCGCTGTGCGACCGCTGGTTCTCGTCAGTACCGGGCCCCACCCATCCCAACCGCTTCTTCCTGCACGCCGCCACGTCCAAGGGGATCCTAGCGGAGCGACGGGCCATACTGCTGCTGGGCTTTAAGGCACGCACCATCTTTGACGTGCTCGCGCGCCGCGGCGTGTCGTTCGGCGTCTACTTCCACGACATCCCCGCCTCGCTCGCCCTCGCCTCGCTGCGCCAGTCCAAGCACGCGCGCAAGTTCCGCCCGATCGACCTGTTCTACGCGCAGGCGCGGGTGGGGAGCCTGCCCGCGTACTCGTTCATCGAGCCGCAGTACTTCGACTTCTCGCGGGAGCCGGGCAACGACGACCACCCCGGGCACGACATGCGGCACGGGCAGCAGCTGATCAAAGCCGTGTACGAGGCGCTGCGCGCCGGGCCGCAGTGGCGCAGCACGCTGCTCATCGTGACGTACGACGAGCACGGCGGGTTCTTCGACCACGTCGCGCCGCCCATGGCGGGCGTGCCCAGCCCCGACGGCCGCGTGGGCGAGGAGGACGGGTTCCTTTTTCGCCGTCTGGGCGTGCGCGTGCCCACGCTCGTCGTGTCGCCGTGGATCGACAAGGGCACGGGTGAGCACCGGGACGGAAGCCATGAAGGGCGGACGGAATCAATCCTCTTTTCCCATCGTTTCCGCGCCCCTCCTCTTACCCTACCCCGCACTGCCGCAACTTCTTCCGCACTCATGTCCTGTGCCCTTTTCGCACCTCCTCACCCGAATCCATCCATCATCCACCCTTCCCTCCCCGTCCGACCCTTCCCTCCCCGTCCGACCCTTTCCGTCCCGACCGCTCTGTCCTGGCAGTCATCCACCGGCCGCGCGGCCCCTACAACTCGTCGCAGTTCGAGCACACGTCGGTTGCGGCTACGCTGAGGGACGTGTTCGGCCTCTCCTCCAAGCAGGACGTGCTCACTGCGCGGGACGCCTGGGCGGGCTCGCTGCTGCCCTTCCTCTCGTTGCGCTCGTCCCCGCGCACCGACTGCCCCTGTGAGCTCTCCCTCTGCTTCCAATGCCTGCCCTCTCCAGCTTTCCCTTGCCTGTGCTTGTGCTGCCTCGTCTTGCCGCCTCGCCCCTGAAAATGGATGCCACTTGCTGGCCCCAGTGCCGGTCGTCTGCTCGCCCTTGCATTGCCGTGTGCCGTGTTGCCGTTGCCCACCTGTCTGTCCGCCACGCACTCGAGTGATGCCGTACCACCAATCGCATAATGGCAATTCCAGAGGCACGCCCACAGCGATCTGCGCACCACTCTCCACGCTCATTGCTGTGCTCATCGCTGTGCTCATCGCTGTGCTCATCGCTGTGCTCATCGCTGTGCTCATCGCTGTGCTCATCGCTGTGCTCATCGCTGTGCTCATCGCTGTGCTCATCGCTGTGCTCATCGCTGTCATCGCTGTGCTCATCGCTGTGCTCATCGCTGTGCTCATCGCTGTGCTCATCGCTGTGCTCATCGCTGTGCTCATCGCTGTGCTCATCGCTGTGCTCATCGCTGTGCTCATCGCTGTGCTCATCGCTGTGCTCATCGCTGTGCTCATCGCTGTGCTCATCGCTGTGCTCATCGCTGTGCTCATCGCTGTGCTCATCGCTGTGCTCATCGCTGTGCTCATCGCTGTGCTCATCGCTGTGCTCATCGCTGTGCTCATCGCTGTGCTCATCGCTGTGCTCATCGCTGTGCTCATCGCTGTGCTCATCGCTGTGCTCATCGCTGTGCTCATCGCTGTGCTCATCGCTGTGCTCATCGCTGTGCTCATCGCTGTGCTCATCGCTGTGCTCATCGCTGTGCTCATCGCTGTGCTCATCGCTGTGCTCATCGCTGTGCTCATCGCTGTGCTCATCGCTGTGCTCATCGCTGTGCTCATCGCTGTGCTCATCGCTGTGCTCATCGCTGTGCTCATCGCTGTGCTCATCGCTGTGCTCATCGCTGTGCTCATCGCTGTGCTCATCGCTGTGCTCATCGCTGTGCTCATCGCTGTGCTCATCGCTGTGCTCATTGCTGTGCTGGGCGCTGGTGTTGCTTCAGGGACCCTGCCCGCCGTGGCGTCCATCAGCAGCGCCCCCCTGGCATACACGTTCAATGCGTCGCAGCCGCTGTCCGCCCTGCAGCGCGACATGCTGGCCATCGCCGCCGCCATCAGCCCTGCACCCATGGCGCCCTCTGCCCTCGAGCCATTCGTGAACTCGCTGCAGCAGCACGAAGCAGGCGTCTTCGTGCGCACGGCTGTGAGCTACTTCCTCGTGCAGCAGGCCAGTGGGGGGGATGGCGGGAGGGTGCAGATGCTGTCGTGCGACCGAGGCAAGTGGTGGTGTCGCGTGGTGGTGAGGATGCAGCGGCTGATGGGGCTCAGCGAGAACACGAGCAGTAGCAGCAGTGACGGTGGGGAGGGTGACGATGGTGGTGCTGATGACAAGGAGAAGGAGAAGGCGAGGAAGGAAAAGGAGAGGCAGAAAGAGGAGGCCAAAAGAAAACGGGAGGAGGAGAAGCGGAAGCGAGTGGAGAAGAAGAGGAAGGAGAAGGAAAGACGGCACAAGGAGAAGGAGCGGCAGCGCAAGAAGCAGCAGAGCAACTCATCCCTTGAATCTGATGATAGCCTCTGACACCAGTGTACCATGTAGAGCAGCCGGCTGGGCAGTGGGCAGCACACCCCTCATGTGCTCCTCCCCTTCGCCATCTCGTGCCTCTGCAGCCCTTCCTTCTCATGTGCTTCAAACGAGGTTGTTAGAACAGAGTGCAGTGGTTGATAGCGCCCCATGGAGTTTGGCCGACAAGTACAGGCACGTGTGCGAATGAGATCACTTCATCTCGACTACAGCGAGCCAAGAGAGCGTTGCAGAAACTTTGAGTCCAGCAGATGGCCTGGGGAGGTTCTGGCTTTTTCGGCCCTGTGGAGAGGAGTAGAGGAATATTGGAAGTGGAGACGGATGAGCTGAACTGTAGACACGGGTGATGGGGCAAGTGCATGGCACCGTGCTTCGTAGCTCTATGCATGCAGTCGTCTGCATTGCACGTCCTGTGCATGCCGAATGGAAGAGCACAAACTGTTAGTACCGTACTTAAGTTGGCAGGCAGCGTTTCAGACACTCCAAATGAGCCTAGAGCATCCATGCAGCCAAGGTGGAAGGCGTCCATCTGTCGCCCCGACGGACGCTCCTTCCCTGCAGTCAGCCCGCAGCTGCCACAGCCCTTGACACACTGCTGACTCACGGTTAACTAGACTCGATCAATGAATGGTGGAGCTACGATGTGGCGAATGGAATGGGTGGAAAGGTGGCAGCTGGCTGCTCATCTCTGCCTTGCATGAACCAGGAGAGTGGGGGCGAGTGCAAGAAGGGGAGAGAATTGCGAGGAAAGGCAGGGGAAGGAGAGTGCACAGGAGGAGAGGGGGCGGGGGGGGATGGATGTCATAACATGGGTGTGTAATGAGTCGATTTTTGAGTCGACTCTAATTTTTTTAGTGTGTAATGAGTCGATTTCTTAGTCGACTAAAAAATCGACTCATTACACACGGAAAGTGCACAGGAGGAGAGGGGGCGGGGGGGGATGGATGTCATAACATGACATGCGTGGAACTGCCTGAGCCATGAGTCATTTTCCGACGCCAACAGCTGCGACGCAAGACAAATGCCCACACAGGAAAATCCAAGCAGGGGGCACATGACATGTCCCAAGAGCAGCCGCGCAAGCTAATGTCCCAACAATAGGTGCTTGAAACAGCCATAATTGTAATGAAACGGATTCACCTTGCTGCTGGGGCTTTGGTCAGCATGCGAGCTTGTGGGAGGGTCAGTGCGCCCTTGGCAGTCTGTGCTGCAATACGCTGCCTTGCCACACGCGCCGCAGATCCCCCGCTTCACAGGGGCGCGTTCAGCCCTCCCACAGGCCCCAGCGCAGCACGCACAGCCTGTGTGCGGTGGCATGACAGGAGCAGCTTCTGCTGCAGCCACAGCGTGTGGGCTTCTGTGCCATCAGCACTTGTGCTGCAGCGTCGGCTGCAGCACCTGCTTGAATGCCCGGTGCTGCATCTTGCCTTGGGCGCGCAGCAGCACTAGGTACCGCAGCAGCCTTGGGCGCAGGACGTTCGCTACCTACAGCAGGGGGGATAGAGGCCGTGTGAGAGGGAGGGCGGTAGCATGGCTGCCCCAGCAGCATCTCTCGCAGACATGCCACCTTATTACCCCCCCCAGCCATGGCTTCAAGTAAGCCGACAGTTCCTCCTCCTTGCCCTTCCCCTCCCTGCCATAACTGCTACAGCACTCACTGCTGCTGCTGGTGCTGCTGATGCTCGAGCTGCTGTAGCAGGAGTGGCTGCCACGGCTTCTGTCATTGCAACTCCTGCGTCTGCCACTGCTGTTGCTGCTGCTGCCACGTGTGCTGCTGTGACAACGGGTGGCACGCCCATCTATCTCTCGCAACACTCCCTGCAACCTCTGCTTCCGAGCCGTCCACCATGCACTACTTGTCACCTGACCGGCTCTTGCTGACCGATCCTTCCTGCCGCTGCCATCCTCAGCTGCCTTATTCGTGCGTCCCATGCAGCGCTTAGTCAACCCTGGGGCGCTGAAAAGGTCGCTGGCAGGGCGGTGGGCGAAGGTGGCGAGGGCAGAGAGCAGGTACATGTGGAAGGTGAGGGCGTGGAAGCAGTTGGCGCAGCGCCAGCATGCCGGCAGGTCCAGAATGTGATCGACGGCTTTCAGCAAGCAGTCCACATCGGCCACGGGGCGAACGATGGGGGGCTTCCTGTTGCAGGGTGCTGCCAGCGCTGCTGTGGGCGCCCCAGTCAAACTTCCCCCCTCTCGCTCTCCCCTCCCTCTGTTCTTCCCCCACCTCCTACCCCCGCCCTTCCCTCCACCGCCTTTTACAGCATTGCTCTTCTGTCCCGTGATTGTTGGCTGGTCAGATAGTCTCTGCAGACCGGCCTTCATCACCCCACTCCTCTCCAAACACCTGCGTGGAAGAACGCTGCACTCGGGTCAGAAGACGCCTCACCTGCGGCCACTCATCCCACCCCAAGGCACAGCTGCTTTCATCCAAAGGCTTGGGGATGGCGCCAAACATGACCAGCAGGCTCGGAAGGTCCCCAAGCGGATGGCGCATCGAGAGGACCTTGCCCTCTGGACTGTCCTTGAAGCTTCTCTTTGCCAAGATGAAATCTGAGCCGTTGATTCAAAGCCACTGCAAGATGCGCCCGACTCGGTACGTGAAGAGTGCGAGAACAGGGCTGATGTTGATGCGCTGGAGCTCAGGCTGAGAAACACATCTCATGCCGGACGGCTCAAAAGACGCACTGCTCGAACAAATGGATTTCAGGTGCTGCTCATCTTGGTGGCCATTCCGCTGCTGTAGCTGCAGCTGCTGCTTCTCCTCCTCCACCTGCTCTGCCTCCCCCGCCCAGAGGTGATTTTTGAGTCGACTCAAAAACCACCTCCCCCGCCCACCGCCTTGTAAGCCCTCCCCTTTCCCGCGTCGCCCTTCTCAGGCTGTGTCTGGCGTCCTCAATGGCCGCACCCTCCATCCTCGCCCTGCTCCCATCGGTCGAGTCAATGGTGTGCACGTGAGACGCTTTGCCGTACTCTGGTCGAGAGAACACCGTGGCGACAGCAAGGGCAAAGTCAGTGGCTCTCACGCCACTCATGTGCATGCCCTCGGGAATGTCTTGGCCTTCCGCGTTGCTGCTGCCACCAACCTCATCACCCCTGCTACCATTGGCGGCACGCCCTCCCCCTCCAAGCTCATCGGCGGCACGCCCATCTCGCACGAAAGCGCAAGCATCGCCGTGACCCGCTGGTTCAGCGCCACAGGAGGCACCGAGTCCAGGTGGTGGGAGTCCAGGTGGTGGGAGTCCAGGTGGTGGGAGTCCAGGTGGTGGGAGTCCAGGTGGTGGGAGTCCAGGTGGTGGGAGTCTCGGTACTCGCGCAAGTCGCCTAGGGTCATGTGCTCGAGCGCGCAGTGGGCGCGGTAGGTGACGGCGCGGAGGAAGCAGCGGTCGCGCGCCAGCATGTGCCACTGGCAGCCCTCGCCGTCGCCGCCCACGGTGCCTCCCACGGCCGGATAGTGCACCATCTCCACGCGGGATAGCAAAGGAACCTTCCCCGATCCTTGCGTCTGCCCCCCCTGCGTGCCAGCCATGGTTTCCCTCTCCTCTGCGGCGAATGACTCGTACCTTTCCCAACAAAATGCCTTCTCGTCGTGGCTACGGCTTGTAATCTCGCTCGGGCTATTTCGGAGCAATCGTGGGCACAGAAGGAAGAGTGGTGAGTGCGGCCCCAGGGTGCGATGCCAGCCGCCGGCGCAGCTTGCACGGGAAGGTCCATCACGCCCGAAGCATCTGCAAGGTTAGCTTGCTCCACCGTCGAGTCGGGCGCCAGGTACGCTGCGCGTTGAAGAAGCACGAATCGAATCTGCTGCGTCCTGCTGGCGACTTTATTCTCCTTGTCATCTTCGGGTCCCTGCTGACGCCGTGACTCGCACGGCAAGCAGCAGTGCGGCAGATGGGGCTGGAGCTATCCGTTGAAGACCCATCTAAGCGGCTCCCTCGGGGACACAGCGACGCGAACGTCCTCGTGAACCAGCGGTATAAATGCCTCGCTGTCAGAACGGTCGTCGTGTAAGCACAAATTGCTTCTGTCGCTACCTGATACTGTACGCGGTGAGTCAAGCCAGCTGGAATCCTAAATCGAACGTCGAATGCCATGCTCTAAGGTGCAGGTAACGCAGCGCATCGAAACTGCTGCGTATGGGTCAAAGTGAGGTGGCTGACTGTGCTGCTGAATTCCCGCTGCTTGTTGGAAGGAATCCCGCATGCCGCACAGCACACGTGCATGGCACCAGCCAATACGAACCACCGCTGCCTCGTTACATTTCCAAAGGTTGAGATCGGTATGAGAGGGCGTGGGAAGTTACACGAGGATGCACGGGATGAACAAGGAGGTGGTTTGTGAGTTGCCGCTGACATGTCAGAGCTCCGAGCCAATGGGGTTTGAAATTGCCGAAGCTCCCCCCAAGCCAGAACTGACCCCGAGTTTGCTGCATCCAAATCTCTTGCCAAGTGGGTCCCAAAACCCGAGAGAGTATTATTGCGCCACGCTGTATTGCATGCATAATTATTTTCGTATCACTGTATTATTTGCATGCCCTTTTCGCGGCCCATAATTATCATCATCACGCAGCCGCTCGCGCGGCGGCCCGTATGGCCAATTTCGGACGTCATTTTGATTATCACGGCCGGTCAGTTCGTTTCCATTTTGCGGTCAGGTTATACCACGCACTGTTCGCCAGTTTCACAAATCACACGTGTGATAATCGGTTTGCACAGCTTCGGCATGCTCAGGTTTAGGAATTGAGCGGGAAATCTGATCCGAGGGTTTTGGGTTTTTAGGTTAGCGGTAACCCTTCCTGGCATTTTACTCTTTTGAGTAACATTTGTCCCTTAAACAGAAGGGTTTCTTGCTGTTCCAATCCCTCCGGGCCAGTTTTGTGTTCTTTGAGGTTAGTTCGCACCACAGAAAATCACGCGTCAGAATCTCCTTGCTCCGTCACTGTGGGGCTACTGAACTCTATGTTTCCTGCAATATTGTGGGATCTGTAGCGCTACTGAAAATGACGACAACATTCGGGCAAGGAAAAAACAAAAACCCTTAGGGGCGAGTATGCCACTCTGGATGGCATCAACCCTAAATTCGCGGCCCTTTTGCGAGTTTAGGGTTGATGCCATCCAGAATGGCATGCCTGGCCCCTAAGGGTTTTATTGTTTCTGCCCTCTGCCTAAGATTGAGGCGATTGTTACACGTGGTTCGCTGTGGAGCGAGCTAACCTCAGAGAACAAAAAACTGCCCCCAGGGGGTTTGAACGGCGAAAAAGTTTTCCGTAATAGGGGCAAAACGTGATCCCAGAGAGTAATACGTTAGTAAGGGTTACCTGAACCGAGTTCCCGCTTCCGAGAACCTGGGATATGGGAGAACATGCATCTTATTGGTCAGCACGCAATTCCAACGTGTTATTATATGGGAGAACAGGCACGGAAAATATATTTTGACAGCGGTCACCCCACTTGCCAGCGCCCCCCCAAAATGAGATGCCCCAACACAAAATTTCAGGACAAAACTCACTGAGACAGTCAGGATAACACCAGTAGTCCGAAATTGGCAATAAGGGCCGCCGCGCGAGCAGCTGCGCGATGATGATAATTATGGGCCGCGAAAAGGGCATGCAAATAATACAGTGATACGAAAATAATTATGCATGCAATACAGTGTGGCGCAATAATACTCTCCAATCCCGAGACCGTGATCTTGTACAATTCGTTCGACACGGACGATGCGCGCTGCGTGTGTACACCCTCGTCGAATGCGAGCAACCGCGCGCAGAAGAGCTCTAGAAACAGCGATTGCGCGAGCCACTGCACCTGCCGCCTATCATCGAGCCACCGCCATTCGCCAACGGCCAAGTGCTGGGCGCAGGTGCATGTGAGTCGCGTTGGCAGCCCCCAACGGCCTCCATCCACCCTCCCAAACGCCCCTCGGGAATGCCGAGCAGCGCCGCGATACGCGTGGAGGGCGGCGCGATGCGCGTGGAGGGCGGCGACCGCGGCCTTCCCGACACGAAGCGCTTCCTGGCGCTGCTGGAGACGCTGCGAGCCGGCGGTACGTGGGGGGCCGCGACGCTGGCGTTGAGAGGGGGGGGGATAGAGGAAAGACGCGCTCTAAACAACGCCGCTGCTGGCAGTGGAGGCCGTGAGGACTTGGCCTTCCACGGCCCGTCCTCCCTCCCCCCTCGCAGCACCACATGTGACTCCATCCCTGGCCTCCCCACGCGCTCTCTCCGCCCTCCCCCTCTCTCCCCCCACACCCACTCCGCCCAGTCCCCCCGCCCACCGACGCCACGGCGTGTGACTACAGCGAGCGCCACGAGCTGTCGCTGGCAGCCGCGCTCTTTGATTGGTCGCAGCCGCTGCTGGTAACCAGAGCGCCGGGCCGCCTGGATGTTATGGGCGGCATCGCCGACTACTCGGGCTCACTCGTGCTCCAGGTGGACCTCAGGTGCTCCAGGTGTTTCGAAAATGCTTCAGATGTTTCGGGCATACGTCAGGTGTTTTGGTTACGCGTCAGGTGTTTGGGCTCCCTTCACCATGTTGCACCCGGCACACCGGGCTTGCTCATCCCTTCACCTCATCGCCCTTACCTTCCCTTCTCCCCTCCTCATGCCATGCCTTGCTGCGCACAACAGATGCCCATAGCAGAGGCATGCCACGTCGCCATTCAAATCACCCGTGCACCACCGCCTCACCACCCTCTCTCTCCCCCCTCCTCCTCCGCCCCCTCTCCCTCCCCCCCCTCGCTCCGCATCGTCTCCCTCTCTGCGTCGGCCAATCACCGCCTTCCCTCCGTCTCCCTGCCCCTCGCGCGCCTCCTCCCCGGCCTCCACGCCTCTCCCCCCATGTCGCCCACCCGCGCCTCCCCCTGCGCCATTGACTACGAAGCCGCTCACGTGCTGCTGGCAGGGGGAGCAGCGGGGAGAGGGGGGCGGGAAGGGGCAGTGGCCGAGCGGTCACGAGAGCCACGGGGGCAAGGGGGAGGGGAGGGCGCAGGGAACGATGCGAGAGAGGGGGGAGGGGAGCAGGGGCCAGAAGGCGGGATGGGGGATGCGCGGTGGGCGGCGTATGTGGCGGGGGCGCTGGTGGTGCTGGCGAGGGAGAGAGAGGCGGAGCTGAGGCAGGCGTGGATGGGGGGAGGGCGAGAGGAGGGCAGCGTGGCGGGGGTGGCAATGCTGGTGGCGTCAGCGGTGCCCGAGGGCGTGGGCGTGGCGTCGTCAGCGGCGGTGGAGGTGGCGGCCATGATGGCGCTCGTCAACGCGCTCCGCTTGAGCATCAACCCCTGGGATGTCGCCAGGATGTGCCAGATTGTACGCTTCTTATAGTTGTCAGAAATGACTCCAGCACGGGGGGATGGGTGCTGATGGGCCATCAATGCGAGTCGGTGCCTTACCTCATTGCCTTGTGCAGCCAGCCCTGCATTGCCACCGTGCTGTCCCTCGTGGCGCCCTGCTGTTTCCGCTGTGCCACCACGCGACCACCACTTCCTGCGTTCCGCACGCTCTTCCTCGCCTCCGGCCCTCCCTTCGCACACTCACGTCTTTCGCCTCCTCATTCTCGCCGCGCCTCTTCAGCCCTCGTCCACACATACCAGCGTGCTCGCGCCACTCACTCCCCTAACTCCTCCCCTGCATTCCTGCTCGCTCTATTCGACCACCCATCAGACGCCCCTTTTTATCTCCGTTCCCCCTGCCTCACACCCACTCACCTATCCCCTCCGCCCTCTCCGCCATCCCCCCCCTCCCCCCCCCAGGTGGAGAACAGCGTGGTGGGCGCGCCGTGCGGCATCATGGACCAGATGGCTGCAGCCCTCGCGCGCCCCGCCTCGCTGCTCGCGCTGCTGTGCCGCCCCGCGCGCATGCAGGGCTGCCTGCCGCTGGCCGCGCACGTGGCGCTTTGGGGCATCGACTCGGGGGCGCGGCACTGCGTGGGGGGCGTGGGGTACGGCGCGGTGAGGGCGGCGGCTTTCATGGGGCTCACGCTTGTCAACGCGGGGCGGGAGGCGAGCAGCAAGGACGTCGATGGAGTGAGTGCAAGTGTGTGGCCACTCGTTGGCGCATGCCACCCCTTCATCATAAGCACTGCTCCTTGCCACTGCTCCTTGCCACTGCTCCTTGCCACTGCTCCTTGCCACTGCTCCTTGCCACTGCTCCTTGCCACTGCTCCTTTCTTGGCCACGAATGCCCATGCATGCAAGTGTACAAAGTACCTGTGTGTGTTTGATGGTGCGTCCGTGCGTCGTGGCGTGTAACCTTGTGTCTCGCTTGTTGCAATCCCCCGTCCCATCAGGTGATCCCCGCTGCACCGCCTCGTCATGCCGCATCCAGCGCCACTAGCAAGCTCTCCTGCCTATGCGAGCTGGACCCGCATAGGTGATATGCCAGGTCACCCTTCAGGTGACACGCCAGGTCATGCATCAGGTTACTTCGGTGGCGACTTTTCAGGTTCTTGCTCAAGTGATTGCTCAGGTGCTCCACACCGCTCCTGCGACATGCCACTGCATAATCTGCCACTGTCTCACTCCCTCCCCCTCCCTCCTCTCTCCTTCATTCTCCCCCTCTCCCCCCCACCCCATCCCTGCATCCCCGCCTCTCCCCAACCCTTCCCAACCCAGCCTGCCTGGCGTGGAGCCTCTGCTGCCGCCCGCCATGCTCGGTGCGGCCTTCCTCGCCCGCCACTCGTCACACGGTGACCGTGCCACCGCCATCTCGCCCGCGCTGCCGTACCCTGTGCTCGCTGCCACCCGCCACCCCGTGCATGAGCACTTCCGCGTGCGCTGCTTCCGCGCTCTGCTGGGGGGGGATGTGGGAGGGGGGCGGGAGGAGGGGGGAGAGGGAGGAGAAAGAGGGATGGAAGCGGGGGAAGGGGATGGGGGGCTGGATGGGGGTGGAGGGGGTGGGGGGGGGGAGGGAGGCGGGAGCAGATGGCAGTGCTGGGAGAGCTGATGATGCAGGTACCATCCAACCCTCATGCTTCACCACTGCCACCAACATGATTTGCGCTGCACCCACCCCACCACTCGGTCGCTATGCGCCCACACTTGCTGATCGTTCCACTCTCTCTTCTGTCTTCCCTGCTTGCTGCGGTCCGCTCTTCGCTCTGAGATTCGCTGCTCTGCGTGTGGCGGGCTTCACGCTGTGGCCTCTGTCCTCCCCTTCTCCATCCACCCCTCTCGTCCCACACACCTCCCCCTTCCCCCCCTTGCCGCCCCACTGTTCTCGCCTCTTGTTTCCCTGCCACTCCCACGTGGTGTGCATGCAGAGCCATGCGAGCTACACGGCGTGCGGGCTGGGGTCGGCTCCCACCGACCTCATAATTGACCTCGTGAAGACACACATGGGGCCGCAGGTGAGCCATGCACATGGTAGCAGGTGAGTCACGCACATGCTAGCAGGTGAGTCACGCACATGCTAGCAGGTGAGCCACGCACATGGTAGGAGGTGAGCCATGCACATGGTAGCAGGTGAGCCATGCACATGGTGGCAGGTGAGCCACGCACATGCTAGCAGGTGAGCCACGCACATGGTAGCAGGTGAGCCATGCACATGGTAGCAGGTGAGCCATGCACATGGTAGCAGGTGAGCCATGCACATGGTAGCAGGTGAGCCATGCACATGGTTGCAGGTGAGCCATGCACATGGTAGCAGGTGAGCCATGCACATGGTAGCAGGTGAGCCACGCACATGGTGGCAGGTGAGCCACGCACATGGTAGCAGGTGAGCCATGCACATGGTAGCAGGTTCACTAGAGAGCCACCGGGTCTTCCCATCTTGCGGCTGACTCCAGGCCGTCCATGCCGTGTGCCCTGCAACTGCTTGCCACTTGCACCATGACCTTGCGGTGCATGCAGGGGCCGCTGTGGGGCGCCAAGATCACGGGGGGTGGCAGTGGCGGCACCGTGTGTGTGCTGGGGGACAGCACGCCTGCCGCCCAGGCCGCTGTGGAGGACGTGTGTGCGCGCTTTGCCACGGCCACGGGCCATCGCCCGCACCTCTTCCACGGCTCCTCGCCCGGCGCTGCTCACTTTGACCACCTCGTCGTGCGCCCGCCTTGAAGCCGTTGCTCACACAGCGTGGACTGCCTTTTTTATCTGTGACTTCTGCTACGGCACTGGGGAACACGAATGTTAGGGCAAACTCCTATGAACAGGGATCCGGATCAGACTCATGCAGGACTGTCCGGTGCAATGGAAGGTTGGAATTGCGCTTCAGAGGGGTTCAATCCAGGCCCTCAGATTCGTTTTAGGCCACGCTGATTGATCAGTGTCAATCTCAAAAAACACCCTGAAAATCAGTTTTTGGCAGTGGTTTTCTTACTGGATGGCCCTGGTTCTTTCACTTTCAAGGCTGATTCATCATGGTCGGTACAAGAGAAGGCCCAGAGAAAAAGCAAAATCAGCATAAAAAGCCTGATAACTACGGGCCCGGTTCAATCTCAGCATCTGAGTTGTGGCTCGCATTTGCAGTGGTTGAGCAACTTCGTGCGATTACATTCTGACATGCATCTATGCTATCCCTTATTTTATATGGAAAATGGTTAGCGACAAGGTACGAACAAAGAATTGCAACCCAGTACTCAAACCTACCAATAATAATGAAGCGGCAACTCATGAGTAAGCCCTAATTGCAGCTATATTGCCACCTGGCGCCCCTAGCTTGTATAGAACAAGTGGTGGTGAGGTGATCCGCATCCTCATCATGCGTGGGGGGCGTTCTGGCCTGCCTACAGCTCCCCCACGGAGCAACTGCGTGGTGCGGGGCATGGGTCCACTGGGAGGCAGCAGTGTGTTGCTTCACAGCGCGTCAACATGTTCCACCAATGGGGGTTGGCGAGGCGTGCACCGTGGGGAGAAAGTGCCAGGGGCGAGAGACAGGGAGAGAGAAGGGGAACTCTCGAGCCTAATAATCTACTGCTGTGACCCGCCAGGGATGCGGGATGCGGCACTATGACGCGGCTGTGCCCACGGCTGCGCGCACAACTCCCGGCTCTCCACTCCCATGCTGAGACTCCACCCCTCCCCCTCCCCCACCCGCACTCCCTCCCGACGGCCGTCTCCGGTGCCCACTGCCACTGCCACTTACCCCTCCACTCCCCACACCCGCCACCACCCCCCCACCCGCCCCTGCGCTGCTGCTGCCCCCCCTCGGGAGGGTGACACGCCCACCACGCTGCGCTTGACTCGCGCGCGTGGAGACGCTGCGTCCCGCATGGGCGACCATCGCCGCCGTGGACTGCCCTCCGCCGCTGCGCTCCGCATGCCCCCGCCCCCACCGCCGCCCCCACCGCCGCTGCCGGCACGCCTGGGGCTGCCCCGCCGGGGGCTGAACTCCACGGCAAAGGTGGACACGGGCCGCCCCCGCGGACTCACCTCCACCGCTCCCCGCCCCCCGCCCCCACTGCTGTTGCTGCGCACCACCGTGCGGTCGTCGCCCCTCCTCCTCCCCCTCCCCCCGCCCATCCCCCTCCACCTCCCCCTCCCCCCCGCTCCAGGCTGCTGGTGCTGGCGACGGCATTGAGGCTGTGGCTCTGCCCCTCGCCCCGCGTTGCCGCCAGCGCGGCCGCCACACCCGGGGGCAGCTCGCCTGCAGCGCCCATGAGCATCCACGTCTTCTGGTCCACCTTGCTCTTCTCCGCTTGCGACATGCCCCCCGCCTTGCGATTCGACAGCCGCATCGGCCCGCTGCCGCCGCCCCCGTGCCCCCCGCTGCTGCTTGGCCGCTGCTCCCGCTCCCTACTCTTATCCCGCCCCCGCTCCCCCTCCCCCGACCCTCCCCCCAGAACCCCTGGCAGAACGCCTGAGATGGAGGCCGACGCAAAGAGAGCCTCAATCTCACGGCGCTGCTTGTCGTTGATGGAGTTGTTGCGTGATTTACCCTCGGATTTACCGGGCTGTCGCGACAACTCCCCTGACCGCGTCTTGGGCAGGCGGCCCTTGGTGCTGCTGCTGTTGAGAGCAGCGCCCTAGAGACACAGCAGAGGGGGGAACACAGAGGGGTCAGTGGGCCAAGGGCAAGGGGGTGAGGGGCGAACAGAGGCCGTGCAGGGACAGGACAGGGCAGGGTGCAGAAATGCTGTTGAGGCGGCACGGCCATTATGAATCACAACCAGCAGGTGCTTTGAGCACATAAGCAGAGCAAGCACCGCAACACAGGCCCTCTCATGCTCCCATGCTCTCATGCTCTCATGCTCTCGTGCTCTCGTGCTCTCGTGCTCTCGTGCTCTCGTGCTCTCGTGCTCTCGTGCTCTCGTGCTCTCGTGCTCTCGTGCTCTCGTGCTCTCGTGCTCTCGTGCTCTCGTGCTCTCGTGCTCTCGTGCTCTCGTGCTCTCGTGCTCTCGTGCTCTCGTGCTCTCGTGCTCTCGTGCTCCCATGCTCTCACAGGCCCACATCACTAGTGCGACAGAGAATGGAGCAGCACAAGCAAAAGAAAAGACATGCACGGGTAAGGAATGCGGACACATACACGAGAGCCATGCTCGCTGCTGGGCCGGTGCTGCTGTTGCCCTCCTTGTTGCTGCTGCTGCGAGTGCAGCTGCTGCACCATCTGGTTGTGCATCGGGTGCAATCTCAAATCCGACGACCGCGACTCCCGCTTCTCCCGCTCCCGTTCCCTCTCGCGCTCCCTCTTCTCCCTCTCCTCTTTCTCCCTCTCGCGCTCCCTCTCCCTCTCCCGCACTTTCCTCAGAGCAGCGTCTCTTGATTCGGTCAGGTCACGCGACGAGCTGGTGGAAAAGTCCTTGGACCCGCCTGTGCCCGACCCAGCACCACCACCCACACCCGCCACACCAGCGGCAGCTGCCACAGCCGCCGCAGACAGCTCGTGGCTCATGGCGTTCATGCCCCCCGCCCCCCCTTTGCTCCTCCCACCACTACCTGTCCGCACCAACCCGCCCCCCTTGCTCTCCCCCATCCCCACCTCCCCACTCACGTTGCGCCCACTGACCCCCGCCCCTCCGCCCCCCCCGGCAGCGCCCCCGGCGCTGGAGTAGGAGGGCCCCTGCACCCACGAGGTGGTGGCGGACATGCTCTTGCCGCCCGCCGCGGTGCCCCTGAGCTTGTCGGCGGCGTCGGCGGGCTTGAGCGCCTTGAGCCCGTCGGGCGTGTCGACGGCCTTGCCCGCCGCCATCAGCTGCGGCCCCAGCCCCTGCAGGCCCGCTGCCAGCGCCATCTCCGACGGGCTGATGAACTTCTCACTCTTGCTCTTGGCGATCGCCGCCTTGCCCTGCTGCTGCTTCTGGGGGGGGGGAGAGGGGGGAGGGGCGGATGGAGGGAGACGAGAAGGTTGGTGAGGCTGGGCACACGAGCCCAGCAGCGGAGTGAAGCAGCTGCGAGCAGCGGGCAGGCGCTGACCTGCATGTTGATGGACTCCACCAGCTCCGCATTGGCATGGGGCGCCGGCACCGCTCTGCTGGACCGCTGCTGGCTCGCCTGCTGCGCCTGCGCCTGCTGCTGCGACACCGCCTGTGACGTGCTGCTGCGCTGCCCGCCCGGCCCGCCCTGCCCCTGCGCCAGCTGCTTGGTGCTGGCGCTGCTGTCTAGCACCTTGCCTGCCCGCGCCCCTGCCGCCCTCTGCCTGCCACAGACGAGGGAAGGAAGCAAGCAGCGCGAGAGGGAGGAACGCCAAGAGGCAGTGAGTCAGAGAGCGTGAGAGGAGAGCGCGCACAAAGGCAGTGGGTGAAGCGTGCACGGAGGGATGTGTGGCTGTGCATGGAACAGGCGGCACGGCAGTGGCACTCATGCGCGGGCGAGGGGGGGGAGGGATGCAGGCAAGTGCAGCCTGCGGGGGACACAGCGAGAGGAGCAAGGTGGGCTGTGAGACAGGCAGCGTGGGTGATGGGGGCAGGTCAGCACAAGGGCCCAAGAGGGCGGAATGTGTGCAGGAGGTGGACGAACAGAGCAGGCAAGAAGGGTGCGTGCAGTGAGACGCGGGCAGCGAGGGGCCGGCAGTGGGGGGCGGGCGAGGGGCGGGCGAGGGGAGGGGTGGGATGACCTGCGGGCCTCCTCGTCGCGGAGCTTGGCGTCGTACTCCTTGCTGGGCGGGTACTGAGGTAGACTGGCCGGGTCGCACGGGAACGGCTTCGTTGTGAAGAACTGAGAGAGAGGGGGGGAGGGGAGGAGACGGAGGATGCGGGTGGGTGGTCGAGGCACGCGCAGGGGAAAGGGGGAACCGCAGGGACGCAACGGACGCACCGCCCACGGGAGGGGGGGCAACGCATGGTCAACCAGAGACGGATGGGCGGGCGAGGGGGGAACGCGAGGGCAACAGGTATGGACGCATGGGAGAAGGGAGGATGTAAGCAGGGGTGGCAGGAGCACACACAGGCATGGGGGGGATTTAAGCAGGGCACGGAACAGCGGCTCCTTGAGCCGGCATGAAGCAGCTGCCCCCCTGCCACGGAGAGCGCCCGTGCCTCACCTCGTGCGCGAGTGCCGAGGTGGCGGAGCCGCGATCGGCGGGTTCGATGGAGAGCAGGACGTCGAGCAGGTTGAGCGCGGTGGCGGGGAAGTCCTTGAAGAGGTCCCGCAGCGACCGCTTGTACGGCTGCGTGGGCTTGAAGATGGTCGCGTGCGGCAGCTTGGACCGCCGCCAGTACTCCTCGCTGGGCGACCCGCACAGCTTGAATATCTTGTGCAGCTGCTCCACCTGCCACGCCCAGGGGGGGGGGAGAGGACGGGGGGTGTGGGGATACAGGACGAGGAATTGACGTGAGCATAAGGGGCGTCCGGTAAGGGCCAACAAGGGAGAAGGGATAGGAAATGAGGCGTAGATGAGGAGCTTAGACCGTGGGCACGAGGACAAGGGGAGACGCTGGGCGTGGGGCAGCATGGGGATGAACTTGGCAGCATGGGGATGAACTTGGCATCACAAGCGTCCAATGGACCATCCTCCAACCTCCACCCCTCTTCTCCCCACCACCCATCCCTCACATCCGGCTGCGGCTCTTCACTCTCCCAATTCCCATCATTGCACGCCCAATAAGCGCCCACCTGTGCGGAGCTCTCTCAGCGCCGCGTGCCTGCATCTCCGCACCTGTCACCTGCGCGCGCCCTCGCGCTTACCCCTTCCCGCTCGTTCCACCTCGCCTCTTATCACCCAGCATGCTGCGCTCACCTCGGTGCGGCCGGGCATGATGGGTTTGCCGGCGAGCAGCTCGGCGAGGATGCAGCCGCTGCTCCACAGGTCCACGCCCACGCCGTACGTCGTCGCGCCCAGCAGCAGCTCGGGCGGCCGGTACCACAGCGTCACCACGCGGCTCGTCAGCGGCACGTTCTGCTCGGGGCGGTAGAAGGTGGCGAGCCCGAAGTCGGCGATCTTGAGGCTGCCCGTGTTGTCGAGCAGCAGGTTGCTGCCCTTGATGTCGCGGTGCAGCACGCCGTGCGTGTGGCAGTGCTCCAGCCCCGCCAGCAGCTGCTGCATGTAGCACTTCACCTGGCGGGGGGGGAGAAGGGGAGGGGCACAGGGAAGACACGGGTGGCGATTGAGAACCGTTGCGGGCGCGATGCGCCATGGCAGTCATCGGCGGCCATGCCCACGCGAGACAGTGCGACGGAGCAACACGCAAGGCGAGGCGGCGAGGGCGAGTGGGAAGTGGGGTGCGGCACGGCGACGCTGACCTGCGCCTCGGTGAAGGAGATGCCCGGGCAGGCGGCGAGGCCGGCAAGGTCGTGCTCCATGTACTCGAAGACGAGGTAGAGGCTGCAGCTCATGCGGCTCGTCACCAGTCCCTCCAGCTTGATCACGTTCGGGTGGTCGAGGCGCCGCAGCACCTCGATCTCGCGCGCCATGAACCGCACGCTCTCGGGCTCCAGGTTGTCGAAGCGCACCTTCTTCAGCGCCACCAGCCGCCCGCTCTCCAGGTCGCGCGCCTTGTACACGTTGCTGTACGTGCCCTGCCCGATCTGCGCGCACGGGGGCAGCAAGGGGGGCAGCGGTGGCGAACGGGGGGAAGGGGGGAGGGGTCAATGGGATGAGAGATAAAAGTGGCGCGCCTTGGGAGAAGGGGCAACGCGGAATTCAGCGGATAGGCCGCATGGTGTATGATGGCGGGAGCAGCCGTCTATTGCACACGCGGCTACAGCCCTGCGGCGAGGAAATGATCTCCTCGCAATAGCCACCAACCAACAATAGCCGTGTGCGACGTCGTAGAAGTGCGCGGCAGCGCGCGACAGCTTACCCGTGTGCGACATCTTTCCGCCCGCAACGCCTCACACGCTGCAGCACCTATGAGCGGCGCGGAGCAGTTGCATAAAAAATCGCCGTGACGAGAAGGTCGTGGAAGGTGAGACGCGCGCGCAAAGTACGAAAGAGATGGTGGAGCCGAGCTAGAACGCGTCTAGTCCCGACAGCAACGTATGGCTGCTTTCCCCCCTTGGACTGCTTCGCACTCGTCGCCCTCCTCTTCTCGGTACCAGGCCAACCTCTCGTCCCCTTCCAGTTTCCATCCGATTCGAATCGTCGCACACCAGCCCGTCTTCCTCTGGTCGTGCCTTCACTCTGACTATGTTCGCCCCCTTCCCGCAATGGCTGCACGCGCACTCACCTTACTGTACCCTTTAACGCCCCCCCGCGGCTGACCTTATCGAGTTTTTCGAAGGAATCAGCTCGGCGCGGCACCCAGCCCTTGATGGCTTCGCTGGCGACGGACGCCAGCCACGACGGCCACCCGGCCGCCACCTGCTCGCCCTCCAGGCTCCGAGCCACCTGCCGCGCCACCGACGCCGCCGCAGCCGGTACTACTGCATCCGCCGGCCGCTCTCGCTCCTTCTCCTTCTCCCGCTCTCTCCGTCGCTCTCGCTCCGCCCCCTCCTCCCCCGCCCCCCCTTGCCCGCTCTGCCGCGAGCTGCCCTTCGCCGCCGCTGGCGCTGCGGCTACCGCCGCCGCCGCCGCTGCTGTTACGGCCGGCGCAGCCGCTGGTTTGGCGGGAGGCGGGGGATCTTTGGTGGAAGGGGGCTCGGGGACCACGGGGACGGCGGCGGGAGGCGGAGTGGCGGCTGGCGGTCTCTGCTGCTGCGGGGGAGGAGGGGGCTTCTCTGCGGCGGGCTTGTGGGGCGGAGACTCGTCGAGCGCACTGGGATGGGAGCACGCGCACCCCATGGCGAGGCGCCAAGGGACCCAACCCAGAGCTGGTGGACCAAGCGCGATGCGGGTGAAGGACCAACCCTGACTACCACCGCCTGCTACCACCGCCTGCTACCACCGCCTGCTACCACCGCCTGCTACCACCGCCTGCTACCACCGCCTGCTACCACCGCCTGCTTCCACCGCCTGCTACCACCGCCTGCTACCACCGCCTGCTTCCACCGCCTGCTTCCACCGCCTGCTACCACCGCCTGCTACCACCGCCTGCTTCCACCGCCTGCTTCCACCGCCTGCTTCCACCGCCTGCTTCCACCGCCTGCTACCACCGTTAAGTACTGTTGGATTCGTCGGCAAATGATGCCAACAGCTTTAGGTGGCTGCGAATTCAGAAAATGAGGCAGCTGTCCTGCAAGAGGAGTCTCCACCTAACGCTGTTCCGCCTAGCTACGGTCTCTTGGAAATGCCTTAACGTACTTCAGGACTTAGCGAGGATCAGAATGAATGAACCGCGAAGAGCTACATAAAGAGTATATAGCGCCTAACATCCAGGGTACTGCGTGTAAGAACATCGGTAACAGAAAGGCCCAGCACGGACTACACGTGAATCTAAGTGTGCGGTAGATGGGTGCGATTATCAGGAAAGTGAAGTTCCCGATTGGCCGACCGGATCGAGAGCGAACTTCGAAGACAAACCTGTTCGCCTACTAATGGCCTTCCTTCACATAGAATAATAACGTAGTGCGAATCGGGCGGGGCTGTCAACCTAAACGTTTAGGCAGCGGAGAAGGCAAGGCAGGTGGTGATGGTTGTGAGACGCGAGAGTTGGCGGGTGTGTTGGTTGGGTGCGGTGGTGGTAGGAATGATGTTGGGGTGTTGGGTGGTGCGGTTGTGCAGCCTTCTGCTGCCGTGGGGACGAGGCAGCATGGTGGTAGAGAGGGAAGGCGAGAGGGTGAGCGGGAAGACGAGCGAGCGGAGGGGGGAGGAGGACGTAGTGAGGGTGCACAACAGGGGGGAGACAAGGTGAAGCGGGGAGAAGACTAAATGGGGGAGGGCATGGCGGAGCAACGCGCGGCTCCGTGAAAGTGGATGCGGGGCGCGCAGGTGGCAGGTAGACACGTTTGCCCAACTGGCATGCGCGCAAACGAGGGAGGGGGGAATGCGCGAATGAGGAAGTCCGCTGAGAGCCAAATGTCACACAGCACCTTGTGTCAAAGCCACGCGCAGATAGGCAGTTATGGGGAACGAGCCGCTGGCGTTGGAGAAAGCAGGGATGTGCTTCTGTGAGAGGAAAGCGCGGGAAGCGGGATGACGGGGGGAGCTAGCGCCGAACTTGACGACACTTTCCGAGCCTCTCAGTCAGGCTCGAGCCGAAGCACGGCAACAAACCACGAGGGAACCATGACACAACAAAGCTCGCCGTCCGGCAGTGGAGAGAATCCACCGCAGGGAGAACTTGGACGTAACATGAAGCTCAATAACGCGAACGCGTAAAGCTGTTAAAGCCCGAGTCTACATTGGTTGGCTATCAAGTTCAGGATTCCTGAACTTGCTTTCTTAAAAGTGGGGGTAACCTAGTGAAGGGGACCACCACGTCGCGACCCTTGGGAAAATGGGGCAGCGTGCGAAATTCGCTATATAAGACAAACCTTTAACTTTCCTGGATTTTTAGAGGCTCGTCGATCAATGTCGAGGAAAAAATCCACATGATGCGCTAGATACGACCAGCTCGTTGAGAGTAGAATTACGCCAGCAATGCCAACGGAATCCGTCGACGTTGCCCCAGGAAAATCCGTCCACCCACAGCCAATACGAACGCGCCAAGTAAGCAACAGAGGGGTCCCAACATCGTTCCCCCCGCCAACAGTGCAGACACCCCGGGGCTATTTATATGCCCCAAGCAACGACCTCTTCACGACACAAGGAACGAGCCCGCCACACCCACGAGGTCGTCCACATGACACCTGTATGCCGAATTGCTCTCGCCGTCAGGCAGAAGGTTGCAATCTGCTAGTACGCCAAGACGAATCCGACATGGCGGCTTGAAAACATTGGGTGATGGTGCCACACCAGATACGGCATGTGGCCGGATCGCAGCACAGTCGACCGACTTCTGCAAACAGAATAGAAGTGGCGGGCCATCGGGCCCGAACGCGCCAACTTAAAAAGGGTGCGTAACCCATATTGGCCTTCACTTGAAGCTCGACTCAAGAGCTGGCTGAAAAGCACGAATGGTGCTGGCTTGCCAGTCTCGACGGCTCTAATCCAGCAGCGCGTGATATTGCTAGCACCCGTATGCAACGTGCCTAGCGAATTCAAAGCTTCTGTTGGATGGGTTCAGAAAGCATTGCGCCGAATGGGATTCAAGTGGCGTAAGATGAGCGGCGAGGCGAAGTCTGCCAACGAGGGTGCTGCTCTGACCGCGCAACTACATTTCTCGAGGCTGTGCGACCAGCTTGGCGTGACCCCGGAGAACCTGTTCAACTTCGACGAGACCTGCGTCTACTACAGTCTCCTCCCCGACCACACATTCTGCATCGATCCTACCCCGCATCATCGTCATGCTCAACAACGCGTCGAGTCACCAGCTCCAATCCCCTCTCGCCACGTCAACCGACATCTGCGGTTTTCGGACACGCACGCTCTCGCACGTGCGCCTCGTGTACTTGCCGCCAAACACGACCCCGTTCACTCAGCCTCTGGACCAGGGCCTCATCACAGCTCTGAAGGCACGTTACAAGGTGGAGTTGCTTCAGGCGGTTCTCGCACAGTGGCAGATCCCTGGTGTCACCGTCGCCGCCATTCTGAAGTGGAAGCCTGAGATGTGGCAGGTGGTAACCTGGGTGTCGGATTCGTGCCTTGGCTTGGATACCGCTACCATCTAAAAGTGCTTCTGGAGGACGCGAATGCTACCCGCCAGTTGGCAGCCGCTGCTACCTCTCCTCGACGCCACTTCTGAAGAGCAGGAGCCCCGGCTAGAGCATGAGATCGAGCCGGTGCAGCAGATCATGAGCGCCATGCCATTTGGCCTGGGCGATATGATTTCCGCCGCTCGCTTCGTCACCGCCGAGCGTGACAACGAGACGAGCGAGCCGAGCGGGGTGGATCCGCTTGAGGTAGAGCCTCTTGGCCCGGCCCAACGGGATGCGTGGTGGGCGAACGCGCCTTCGAATGACTAAACGCGCATGGTGACAGAGATGCTAATCGGCTACGCCAAGTCCATTGGCTTGGCTCCGCGCAATCTCTGAGTGCTGTTCGACATCCGCAAACCTGCGGTTATTGATCGCCTGGAGCCCGCATCCCCCCGCCTGGACACTAACTGTGAGAGTACGACCCCGTTACACCACTTGTCCCTTTCTTATTTCCTTCCTCTTTCAATTCTCTTTTTATCCCATCTCATTTACTTTCCTATTCTCCATTTTCCATTAACCTTTGGTTTATCCTGCTATTATAATTATATCACCGACCAGGCTTGGGATGTACTGGTGCGCTATCTGGCGTAATCCTCCCGTAATCCCTTAAAGCCAATAGCCTCGCGTGGCTATACGCAGGGTGATTCTCTCTTCTAGAAGGGTCTATTCCCTTAGGATAAGATAAACCTGGTTACCTGATGTACTCTAGAAGTATAAAAGCGCCTTGTACTAATAGATAGTGCAACCTTTCCTCGAGTCATTCGATCATGTGACACTTGGTAATCAGAGCCTTTCTCACTCGGCCGCGCTCAACAAAGCAGCAGCAGTGGGAAAACCTGCCTCGAAAAACCGCCGGGGGCGACCAATTCGACGCCGATTCTGGTAAGCACCAGCTCCGCGTTTTTTCAAATCACCCCCTCCGCGCATGTTTTGAACAGGATGGCAACCCTCGACAACGCCGAGGTTACCCAGCAGCTCTTCGCGCGCATCGCAGCCCTTCAGGAGGAGATACCAGCGGATTGCGAAGCATGGCGAAATGAGTTCGAGCGAGTAACTCGACTCGCCGGAGCGCAGCACGACTCGACAATGGCGATGACGTAGCAGTCGCAGCGGTTTCTTGAGGCTCCGAAACCGCGCCCACCTGAGCCGTTCTATCCGAGCGATCGAAACTCCGACGTCCGCAGATGGATCGCCGGGATGGAGATCTACTTCGCAGCCGTCGGATGGAGCTCGCCAGTCTGGGACGGTCAACGCGTACGACTCGCGGCGACACTGATGTGAGGGCCGGCACTCGAGTGGATTAGCGGCAACAGTACCTTCATCCACGGTGAAGCCACATGGCAGCAGTTCCGAGCCGACCTGCTGAAACGATTCGAGCCGATAAATTCGAGTTTCCTTGCCCGGGAAAAAAATCATCGACAGTTCGGGAGTGTAGCACAGTACACACAGCAGATGGAGGAAATTTATATCCGAATTCCCGATCTGACCAAAGGGGAAAAAGTACAGTCGTACCTCGCCGGGCTGAAGACCGAAGTCAAACGACAAGTGGCAGCGTCAAACTACGCGAGCTATAGTGACGTCGTTTCGGCAGCGGAGCGATTCGACATGGTCAACGCCAAGACACGACGGACGCACGTCGGCAGTACGCGACAAGGCGACCGCTCGGCTCACCCCACGTTCGCCGACCCAATGGAAGTCGACAGGTTCAAGGGGCGGCCATGTCCGAAAAACACCAACTACACGTGTGATTTTTGCAGGGTGCCGGGTCATCGAATCTTTGACTGCAACAAAATGAAAACCGCACGCGCTGAGTATCGGGCACGCAACAGTGGCGGAATTCCTTCGGCCAATCAGAAGACAAAAAATGGGAGTCGCCAGTGATTGCGGATCTAGCTGGCGAAAATAAAAAGATCCGGAAGCGGCCACGGGATTCCGGGAAAATCAACTTCGACGAGGCTGATTCGACGCAAGGAGGAGGAAATCATGGGGGAAAATCTCCACCCCACGACCAGTCTTCGCCAGGGAAAATCGCCGAGGAAAAAAACGACTCCGCGAAAAAGGACTCTGCCGAGACAGGGAAACTCCTTGAAGACCCAAGAAATTATAAGAATTCGTTAAAGTTATCTTATAAAGATGCTTTAATGAAAACTTATGATGTTCGAGGGGCTAGAGCCTTGGAGAAATTACGGGAGGGACTCCAAAAGAAGCAGACAGCTGTGGAGATTATACCGGTACCGGAAAACTTGGGGACCAAATTAAGGAGTGTGGAAAGAAGCCGACCTTTCCACGGAGTTAACGTCCTCTCCCGACACCAGCCCACAACGACTACCCGTTCCCCAGGGAAGACGTCGGTGGAGCTGAAGCAGCTCAAGAGGAAGCTGGGGGTCTACAAGAAGCTGCACAAACCCCGAACTCCTCCTACGGATGCATCCAGTTCTTCGGCATCCGTGACACGCACAGTCGTCAAAGAAACTCCGGGCCCTGGAGAAGAGCCGTTCTCCAAGCAGCCTCGGCCAGCTGCCAGCTCAGGAGTAGATAGCAGCACAAAGGTGTGTACGGAATATTGGGATGTACCCTATGACCCAATCAATGAGACTATCAATGGGTACTCCGAGCAACGACTGCCCTTGTGCTCGAGGTCATCTGCAAAGGACGACGCCTCCAAGCACTCGTGGACAGCGAAGCATCACACACCGCCTGCAACAAGGCAGTAATCGACCGACTACGGGAAGAGTACAAGCCTTCAGGATTCTCCGCAACGATGGTGGACGGCAGCAAGTTACCAGTGTACGGCGAAGTAGTGCTACACCTACAAATCGGGCCACTGCTGTGAGAGTACGACCCCGTTACACTAATTTCCCCTTTCCATATTTTCTATCTATTTAATTCCTCTTTTTATCCTCATTCATTTGGTCTTTATCTCATCTCATTTGGTTTCCTATTCCTCA